CAGTCTCACTCATCATCAGAGAAATGCAAATCAAAACCACTTTGAGATACCACCTAACCCTTGTAAGAATGGCCATCATTAATAAGACAAACAACAACAGATGTTGGTGAGGTTGCAGAGAAAAAGGAACACTTCTACACTGCTGGTGGGAATGCAGACTAGTACAAACTCTTTGGAAGACAGTATGGCGATTGCTGAAGGAACTAGAAATTGACCTTCCATATGACCCAGCAATTCCCCTATTGGGAATATACCCGGAGGAACTCAAATCATTCTACAAAAAAGATACCTGCACACGTATGTTTGTAGCAGCTCTATCCACAATAGCAAAAACATTGAACCAACTGCCATGTTGCCCATCGAGGCTGGACTGGATAAAAAAAATGTGGTACATATACATAATGGATTATTACGAAGCCATAAAGGACAAATATATGGACTTTGCAGCAAATTGGATGGATTTGGAGTCTATCATACTCAGTGATTTATCACAGAAACAAAGAACTGAGTTTCATATGTTCTCACTCATAAAGTGACCTTGAACAATATAACGCTACACAAAAGCGATTGGCAGTAGCGGAAAACTGTCAGGGGAAGGGAGGGGGACTAGCAGTTGGTGGAAACTGCTAGGGGAGGGAGGGGCATGCCTCGTCAACAAGGGTACCTGCATGGTCAATGTTTGTATACATAACCCTGAATTGTACTCCACATCTTTATAATAAATAAATAAATTTTAAAAAAGAGAGATTCAGGAAGGAGAGCATCCAAAAAAATAATTAAAAAAAAATAAAACAACAACAGATGCTGGCGAGGATGCGGAGAAAAAGGAACACTTCTACATTGCTGGTGGGAATGCAAACGAGTGAAACTTCTTTGGAAGACAGTGTGGTGGTTCTGAAAGAACTAGAAATTGACCTTCCATATGACCCAGCAATTCCCCTATTGGGAATATACCTGGAGGAACTCAAATCATTTTACAAAAAAGATACCTGCACACGTATGTTTGTTGCAGCCCTATTCACAATAGCAAAAACATGGAATCAACCATGTTGCCCATCGAAGCTGGACTAGATTTTTAAAATGTGGTACATATACACAATGGAATATTATGCAGCCATTAAGAAGGACAAACATATGGACTTCATGGCAACTTGGATGAATTTAGAGTCCATCATACTCAGTGATCTATCACAGAAACAAAGAACAGAGTACCATATGTTCTCACTCATAAGTGGACCTTGAACAATTATTTTACTATAAGAAAGCGATTGGCAGTAGAAACTGTCAGGGGAGGGGGGGATTGGATTGGCAGCTGAGGGAAACTGCCAGGGGAGGGAGGGGCATACCTCATCATCAAGGGTACCTACATAATCAATGTTTGTATACCTAACCCTGAGTTGTACCCCACATCTTTATCTAAAAAAAAAAAAACAAAAACATGAGAAAGCAATCCACACACTGGGAGCAGATTTTTGTAATATATATATCTGCTAAGGACCTGTGTCTAGGATATATAAAGAACTCAACAAATCAACAAGAAAAAGACATAAAACCTAATTTAAATGTAGCAAAAGATTTGAACAGTCACTTCCATAAGAGGATTTTAAAGACATAAAAAACATATGAAAAGGTTCTCAGTATCATTAGTCATTTGTGATGCAAACTAAAATTACAATGCGATATCACTACATACACCAAAGTAGCTAAAATTTAAATACTGACATTACCACGTTTGTGAAAATACAGAGCAAATGGAAAACCTCTTACATGAATGTGGGAGAGAATTCTGGTACAACTACTCTGTAGGTGTTTGGAAGCATCTACTAATACTAAGCATACTTTTATATTCTATGACCCAGCAATTCCATCCCTGAGTACATACCCAAAAGAAACAAGTGCTTAAGTTACCAAAAGAAATGTAAATGGATGCTCACAACAGTTTTACCCATAACAGCCCCAAACAAGAAGTGATCAAAATGTCTATCAACAGTAAAAAGGGTAAATAAATTGTGGTATAAATGAAATAAATAAGAGCAATGAAAAACACTGAACCACTGATACATACAATAACATCAATGAATCTCACAGACACATTGAGTGAAATAAGTCAGACACAAAAGAGCACATGATTCCATATACATGAACTCTAAATCAAGCAAAACTAATCTATGGAGACAGAAGTCTGAATGATAGTTACTTGGAGGAGACACTGACTGTGAGGATACCACATGGTATACCGCAAATGGTCTGCGCTGTGATATGGGTAGTGGTTAAAAGGGTGTATATATGTAAACATTCGAACTCTACACAAGACTTCTGTATTTTACTCTATGTAAAGTTATTTTCCTCAAATTAAAATAAATGTTTAAAAACTCCAAAAACCTAGTGTTGTAGAGGCATAGTAATAGATAACTAGATCAGTGGAACAGAATATACAAACCAGAAATACACTCATGTATTAAAGAGATTTCAGTTTATAATAAAGGTGATTTTTTTCCCTTTATGCCTCTGAATGTTGCACATGTAGATGTGATTCTTGAAAACATGGTAGCCATCTTGAGACCCCCCAACAGGAACCAGCCTAAAGGGACAAGCAAGTAGACTAAAGATGGCAGAGGAGAATGGAAGGAGCCCAAGTCCCTTGAAGATACTAATGCACCACAACTCTGGAGAGCTTTACTTTTGAGTTTCTTACTATTTAAGATTTTTTTAATATCCACTTTTATTTGGATTTCAAAAGCATCTTGACTGACGGAACAAGTTAGAAAGTTGTTGAAATAGTTCATGCCATTGAATAGTTTGGCTTAAGTTCAGCAGCTCCACAGGGAGCCACAGACTTTCAGAATAAACTCTCAGAAATTTATTTCATTATGAGGCTAGAATCTCTGGAAGAAGGGACATCACTTACCTGTCCGGTCAACATCCTTTTTCATGGGCAGCACAGTATAATCTGGTTGCTCATCTGAGGCCTCAAACATCCACTTGGGCTGCAGCATGGATTGGTGCTCTCTCTGGGGACTTCGACTGCCTCTAACCCTGCTCCCTGACCCATCCAAGAGCTGAACCTGCTGTAGGTACGGGATCCGGAAAATCCTGTTTTGGTCCAGGCTTAACTTCTTCAGTCTGCAATTAAGGAAAGTAAATACAGAATCACAGCAATAATGATACCTCAGGGATATTTACCAAGCAACTTTAGGGAAAAAACATGGAATCAGGCTTGAACACTTAATCCTCTTGTGTGACCCTGAGTCAGTGATATACTCTCTCTGGGTCTCAATATCCCTATCTCTAAAATGGCACTAAGATTTATTAACCTTTCAAAGTTTTTGTGGAGATTAAATGAGACAATATATAAATGGCCTGGCACAGTGTTACCCATTAAATAGCAGCTGAATCCAAAGTCAATTTTACAGGGACCTAAAACTTAACCATTTAAATGCCAGCATTTTCTTTACTTCGAATAGGTAGAACTCAACGGTTAAACTTCTTTTTCTGATTTTTATTTCCTGTCTCCACTCTCAGGATCAGGATCCTTTCACAGGTAATATCTCCTCCTACCCTTCTTTCTCTTTGTTGCTTTTAATTCAGTCACATGATCAGAAACATCCTTACTAACACCCCACTTTTATGGAGCTAAATCTCAGAGGGGAAAAATGACTTACACATGGCCACAAAGCTGAGATAAGAGGTGGAGCTGGGATTTAAACCCTAGCCCTTTGGCTTCCTGAGCAGCACTCAGAGTGAGAAAAGCTGGGGGTTAGAGAGGGCCCTGCAGAGAAGGGCTTGTGGCTTTACCTCCTGAGCCCAGCCAGGCTGGCAAAGCAATTGGGGTTGGAGAGTTTGTTGTCATCTAGCATCAGTGTCTCCAGGGCTGGGAACCTCAGGATGTGCCTCTTGCTTGTCAGCGATGTCCTAGATGCTTCCCTGTGAGTGCAAAGATCTTGGGTAATGAGCAAAGATAGGGGATAAGCTGCACCCAGGAAGCAGTGGAAGACAGGGAATCAATCAGGAAGCGTAACCAGCTTGGGTCTTCTCTAGTGCCCAACAGAGTCCCTGTAGAGATGCACAGAAGGTATAAGTCCCTCCCCACTTTCCCCTATCCCAAACTCCACTCATGCGCACCATTGTCTGTATGGAGAAAAGTCACACACATCATTGAGACCAGGTCATGGCAGGATAGGGGTGATATTGATAGTGGTTATGGAAAATAGCAGGGTGGAAGAGACACGACCAAGTTGGAGCATGTATTCTGCAGGCAGAACACTGCATAATTTTGGCTCAGGGTTGACTCCTTGTGATGCTATATTACTTAGTGTACTGGTAACCATGGGAGCACCAGGAGACAATGCCCTTGTTGTGGACCACAGCTTTACCATGAAGTGGGATGAAGTATGCTGGACTAAGGGCACCATCTCTGGCTGCAGTGAGGTTCTCAAGCGACGTCATACAATGCACACAACAGTAAGGAGTTGAGAAGTCTCTTCTTAAATTCAAACTCTGAGGATTCCCAGAAACACCTGAGAGTGAGATTTAAGGGGCTGATGTCTTGAACTACACAGGTGGGCAGGAAGTGGTGGCACTTTAGGTACTATCATGGTTCTCAAGCGATGTCATACAATGCACACATCAGTAAGGAGTTGAGAAATCTCTTCTTAAATTCAAACTCTGAGGATTCCCAAACACCTGAGAGTGAGATTTAAGGGGCTGATGTCTTGAACTACACAGGTGGGCAGGAAGTGGTGGCACTTTAGGTACTATCATGAATGGGATCTCATTTGTGTCCCCAGGTAGATGAGGCCTAGGTAACTCTATTCCACACACAAGCAGATAACTCAAATAACATTTTAATTATTTCCTCCACACTCCATTCCACCCGTGCACCACATAATATACAAAGGCATAAAAACACACGGTATGTACACATATAAGCCATAAACACACAACTAGAGGAACAGAAATGAACATTTCTTCAGAGCCTACTGCATTCCTGGCATTGTGCTGTTTTATATATGTTGTCTCAGAATAGCATTGAGAAGGATAGGTATTATTTATTTCCTTTTCAGATAAAACAAAATAAAGCTCTGAGTATCTTGCCTGAAATCTCATACATAAATAGAAGTGGGAGAACTCGATCTAGAACCCAGATCTGCCAGACTCCAAAACGCACTCCCTTTTCACCGCCACATACCACCTCTCACACTTACATCTTCTAGCTCCTGTGAATTAAAAGGTGGGGAAATGGAAGGGGTGGCTGTTGCCCAGGCTAGAGAGAGCTTAACAAAGGTAGGCAGTGAGTTCAAAAGCTAGGATTGTGATGTACACCTGAATATTTCACAAGTGAACTTACAGAAGGTATATTCTAAATGAATTACTAATTCATTCGTTCATTCACACTCAAGAATTTTTTAAACATACATGTATATAGCCAGGTACTGAGAATACAAAGAATAAAAGAACACATTCCTCCCCTCAAGGTGCCTATAGTCTTTAGTAAGTGGATACTCTGTACACACAGTGGAACAAAAATTATAATAAAAATAGTTGGGGAAGGCACCTACTTGGGGAAGGCAACGTTTAAGTGAAAATATGAAGAATGGAGGGAGAATTTGCCATGATCTTAACCAGTGTGAAAGAGATATAACAGGGAGAAAAATCATATCTTTGTGGCTGGATCTGTAACCTAATTAGAAGCTCCGGGAAGCCGGGCTCGGTGGCTCAGCCTGTAATCCCGCGCCTTTGGGAGGCTGAGGTGAGTGGATTGCCTGAGCCCGCGGGTTCAAGATGCGCTTGGGCAGCAAGACCTCATCTCTACAATAAATCAAAAATCAGCCGGGCGTGGTAGCGCATGCCTGTAATTCCGGCTACTCGGAAGGCTGAGGCGGAAGGATCGCCAGAGCCCAGCAGGTGGAGGCCGCGGTGGCCGGGAGTGGCCACTGCACTCCAGTCTGGGCAACAGAGTAAGACTCCAACTCAAAAAAAAAAAAAAAAAAAGAAGAAGCTCCAGGAAGCCATGTTTCCCATCCCGAGGTCCAGAAAGACACAGACAGCTCATTTGTGAAGAATAGTGTGGCAAGTCACAGAGAGGAGGAGATGTGAATGCAAAGAGACAGAACTTCCAGTTTGCTCCACAATGCTCAGGACCTATGGGCAGTATGGGACATACTAAGGCATGGCTGTGAAATTCCCCAATGTTCTTACAATAAATTCCTCTATTTTTGCTTACTCTAACACTGACAGATTTCTGTAGATTATAACCATGGCAAGTTATGACTTAAAAAAGGGAGAGGTCAGATAAGGTTTCAGAAAGAGTCCTGACAGCAGTGTGGGGAATAGGCTTAAAGACCAAAGACCAGAGACAGTCAACAGAGAAGGCAGGAAGCTTTCAAGATCACAGGTAACTCTGTTTTCTTCTTTCTGAAAGGACCAACTTCCACACACTGAATTTTTGTTGTTGTTGTTGTTTGAGTTGTTGAGTTGTTGCCTGGACAGAAGTACAATGGCACAATCATGGTTCACTGCAACCTCAACTTCCTGGGCTCAAGCAATCCTTAGGCAACTGAGTAGCTGGGACTAGAAGCACACACTACCATGCCCTGCTAATTTTTTGATTTTGTTTTTTTAGAGACAAGGTCTTGCTATGTTGCCCAGGCTGGCCTTGAACTCCTGGGCTCAAGCAATCCTCCCACCTTGGCCTCCCAAAATGCTGGGATTATAGGCATAGCCACTGTATCCGGCCCATACACTGAATTGTTCATCTCTACCTGAGAGCAATTACAGAACAGTGTACAGCAGCTCTATCAATTTATAAGTGATTGGCCAATCTTTATTTTAGTCCAGTGAAATATGAAACAAGCCTTCAAAAAATTGAAAATTTGAAGAAACAAGCCTTCAAAAAATTCCTCTTAAAAGTTCCATAATGAAGAAGCTGGCTCTGTCTTGTCTCTTGTGACAAGTAGTACTGTTTTACCTTTTAAAAGTTCTACCCTAATTACACCATGGGAAAGTTATATTTTTGTCTCTACAATGATGTTTTAAAATAGGGGGGCAATCATCAGATGAGTAAGGAGGACAGATGCCACGGTTCAGAGGAAAGCACCAGTCTCTCCTGCTGAGCCCCTCCTGTGGCAGTTTTGATAGAAGAGCTCTTTGAAGTAGCACAGTCTGTCAGTAGTGGAGAAGCTGGGTTTCCAGCAGCTTAGACTGGTGTTATTTTTATCTCTTATCTTGGCAAACAGAGCATCATTTAAAATCAGAGGCATCTAACTTAATTTTTTAGAAGCTAAGAGTATGCACAGTGGTTACATTCAGCAATGGGAATTCATGTGCCACATCAGAAGCCTGGAAAGGGATCAGGATCCCTGAGCTCTGGCTCTGGGGATGCTGCTGCTTTTACTTGCTGTGTGACTTCTGACTGGTGTTGAGCATCTCTGGGCCCAGATCCTCTATCTACAAGGTGAAGGAGGATTTCTTTTACTTTACATTTTAAGACTTTGGATCCGGCTAAATACACTGCATAACAGACTGAACCAATGCCTGTAGCAATCAAGATGAAACTTAACAAGAGCTTATGCCAGACAAGTATCAGATCACCTTCTGTGTTAACCTACAGAAAACACATGGTACAAACACACAGAATGAAGGAGACATGGCCTAATAGACTGCTTGTGTAAAAGAGAATTTATGGTGTAGCTGCTTAAAAACAAGTGCTCTTTTAGGTGGCATAACTAGGAATACACTGATTAAAAGAAAGGAGCTGACAATTCACCATCTGCTCTGTGCTGGTCATGACTGAGAAAGAGGACTTGTGTGGTCCAAGGCAGAAAGGGAATGGGCCTAACTGGAAAACCAAAGTAGCAGATTTCAGTTCAAAACAAGTAAGTATTTGAAGTGAGTCAAATATGACGTTCCTAACTCACCCAGACAGAGATAAGAGTAAGAAGCAAGACACAAATAGTTCTGAATAGATGAGGTATACGATGAATGGGAAAAAGTGAAGAGAAAGGATGGAGAAGCAGGTAGGCAGGCCATGAAAAGCCTCATGAGCAGCAGGAATGGAGCTTGTCTTCAGGACTGTGGGAAGCTGCTGAAGAACTTTAAGCAGGGCAGTGATAGAATCACATGTGCATTTTAGAAAGATCACTCTGGCTGATGGCAAGGAAGATTGAGAGGTGACAAACTGGAGACAGAGACCAAACAGGGAGATAACAGAAATGAGCAGGTTTGAGAAAAACGTAGGAAGCACGATTCACAGCATCTGGTGATCGAATGGTTGTAGTAGGAAGGGCAGAATTCAGGTTGATGCCCGGGTTTCTATCCTGGACAACTATGTAGCAAATGGAGAGAAGTGCCAGTCACCGAGGCCAGGGAAAAAGAGAGAGAAGGAAGAGATTTTGGCATGGAGATGTTTGTGATTACTTTGGTACTATAAAAAGGCTAAATAGGCTTACAGCTCAGAAGATGTTGGAAGGGATGAGATCACCAATAAAGAGTATAAGGATTAAGAAAAACAGTAGGATGAAGGTGATCAGCTGAGGAGCACCAACATTTAAGAGGTTGGCAGAAGAGGAGGCCACAGAGCATATTGAGTATAGATAGATAAGTGGGAAGAAAATAATGTGGGGCTCCAGACAAAAACATTTAAGGCACACTGATCTCAAGTAATACTCTGATGCAGGTAGGAGCACATTTATTCTCCCCCATATTCTCCATATATAAGGAAATGGAAGTGCAGGGTATGGAGTCTTGCCTTGCTTTATGTAACAAGACTTTCCACTGACAACAAATAGATTTATGAATAAAATATAAAAAGAAAAAATATCATTTTAATATGTATAAGAGATGTGAAGTCAGAAAGAAAGCAGCATACCAAAGTAAAGCACTAGATAAAGCCAGGCACAGTGGTGCACACTTGCAATCCCAGCAAT